TGTTAGAACGAGCCGTTTTAGGGGGGCGTGGCAGAGTCTTAACTTTGATAAAGAATATCTCTTTGGTTTTGAGACTTTAGTCTTTGCAACTTCAGGGATCTTATCTATGCACAATCAGCTTGTAACACTCCAAAGAGAAAGGAAAACTTAAAATCGCATCATATGACCCCTTTAAGTGGAAATTATACAGATTCTATGGCATGCAATGCAAAACATTCACTGAGTTCTAATATTTAAACTACCACTAACCAGTAATCAGTGTTGGTTATTGTATATAACAATCTCATGTACGGTACAGTTGAGTAATTTTTTCCGCAAGGATGTTTTTGTGATTCATTCACCAGAGAAATGCCCACATGTTCCTTTTAGTACAGAAAACATAGTGAATTAATGTCTTTTTGGTGCCTCTTTAAGTAGCCACCTCCACCCAGTGAGCAACAAGCTGATTGTGGCTAAAGAGATAATGTATTTTTGGACCAATATCAGACTCTTGGCAAACTATTAACTCAATGGCAATCTAATAAAAACATCCCGTGGAGATCACCAGTGGGGGCTGTCAATCTGAAAGTAAAACTCAAATACTCCTGCATGGAATACAAAGATAGACCTTTTGACCAACATGATACTGACAGTAGTAACATTATTTGTTGAATATTCCCTTTAGCATAAATTTCGTCTGATAGCATACCAGTGTCAGCAGGCCTCATGAGACACTTAGCTAAAATGTTTTTTTTTTCAGTCAATACTTTGAATTCATTTATATTCAATTAGCACAAATGGCTTCCTGTTCCTATAATCACAATCACTTTGAAAATCCATCAGCACTCAGCATTAGCATTGCAGCTCATTGTCTTTTAGTTATTTGTACCACAGAACTGATGTGGATTTATGCTCCTCTCCACTGAAAGCCTTTTCAAGTGGACAAATTAATTTCAGGAGACTTTTTGCTGGTTGCCAGATGGAAGCACTTTTCAAAAGCAGTCAGCCTTCCTTGGAATGCAAAACTAATTTTCTTCTGTATGTTCTTGCTTAACAGACAGCTACAGATATGCATTTGTGTACTTATCTCCAGTTCTTTTCAGGCTTAGGCCCTAAATTAATTTCAAGTTAGTATTAATTGTTCTGATGTTTTTCTTTTCCATAAGAATGGCTTGTTTTGCTGTATTCTTAAGGTCAAATTGAGTGTTTTAGCTGAGCAAACATTACATTTCCTTCTTAGGAAGTGACCTTGAAGTGTTGTGACTTGGCCTTTTGTGATTTTCAAGGTTTTCTGCTTTTCGATTCGTCTTGTTTCTTCAGATTTGAATGGCATATCTTAAGAATCCAGTTTGGGCTGTTACTTCCTGACGTGTTTAAACAAAGTTTGTTTTTTCTTATGTGAAAGGAGAGTATTAATTCAGCCTTTTCCAACTCTCTCATTGCACTGTAATAGTTACTGTCATAGCTTAGAGATATCATACCATCAAATACAGACAGTGAGTGTCTTAAAAAAAAGATTTGGGAACCAAGATGAAGGGTGAGCGTGTGAATCTTGAACGCAATCAGAGATGCGAGAGTGGGAACACAAAAGTCCTGGTGATATCACATCTGTGAGACGGAGTGAATGGTGATGATTGAGCGTGAGGAAAAGGAGCTGGCAGCATGAGCAGGGAAAACAAGGCAAGATTAATGAGGAAAACAGGAAAAGGAAGTAATTATGCTTAGAGAATCAACAAATGTACTTCCAGAATAACACTAGCCACAGGCCTACAACTTAAAGAGTGCTAACGTGCAGTTGTTTCCTTAAGGAGCTATTTCCACTTAATCCGACCCTTAAAATCACATTTATTAGTGTAACCTGATGTGTTTAGGTTGATTCAGTAGTGTTAAATAATATTTATCTTATACAGAAATAGCTTTTGTAGGCTAGTTTCACAATTCATGACTGATGTTTAAGCATTTTAACACAGAATTATAGAAAGAGTTTGTTGTGTGTACACTAAAATACAAAAAGTTAATCTAAAAATGTCCTTTATGTAGTTACATCTTACATTTTTATTTTATTCAAGTTAAAAAAAATCTATACATTATTTAACATTAAAAAAAATTTAAATCTATTTTATTAACTTGATCATCCTGAATATATTCGTTCACACCTACAAAACTAAATGTAATTGTTAGATAAGGTTAGAAACAGCTCCTTACAAGAAACAGTTTCTTTAGTAATTTAGATACAATAAATCAAATGTGCATGTTTGGACTTTCAAAAGCTAAGATGTTACTGTGTGTTCAAAGGACGTAAGTTACAGAAAACAGTCTCTAGAGAAAAAAAAACAAGAGGAAAAATCTGCTCACACATCCCAGCACCCCTCCTCCAATTACAGCTCCGCCTGCTGTCTGAGAACATGCCACCCTCCCTCTCCCTCTCCCTCTCCCTCTCTCTCTCTCTCTCTCTCTCTCTCTCGCTGCAGCTTTTCTTCTCACCGTTACTTCCACTGTGGGTCAACTCTGAACTCTGGCATCATCTGTTTGTGCATTCAGGCCTGTCACACTGAGAAATGGCCTGGTGGCAGTTCCTTTAGCCCCTTACCCACCGCAATTAAGTAAATGGAACCAGGGCTCGGTCAGTCCCCTCCCGCACCACCCCACATTGCATTGATTTTTTTTGCAAGGGAATGGGCACGGTCACTAAATGACAGCAGGACATTTAGATGTTTTAAAAACAAAATTGAATTATGCTCTGGAGATTTAGTTTGTAAGTTGAAGTGCCCTGTGTGTGTCGCTGTGCAGGCCGGAGCATGAGAGAGGGGGCTGGAAGGACAAGATCAACTGAATTTGAATAAGAGATGGAGAAACAAAGAAAGAAGGGTTTTCTTTACACTTCCAGAGCAAGGAATTAATTTGATTTTAAAACAATGATGCTGAACAGTTTTTTTGTAGTGTGCCTACAATGCAAGTACAATATGATGAGCATGCAGACATTATGCAGTAGGTATTATGCACTGTAGATGGTTTGAGTTTGGGTAGGGAAATCTCAGGTTCTGTCCAGTATCTGCGTGACTGACAAGAGAATCAGTGAATTGATTCAAACAGTGAATTGATTAAACCTGACAAAACAACTTTCAGAACAGTTCACCAAATTGGATTGGTTATTTATTTATTTACTGCTGGAGAAAAGAAAACACGTCTAAAGATGTTAAACTAAACAAAAATAAATAACAAAGGCAAATGAAATTAAAATGAAATTGTATTACCCAAATTGATTAGATATGTTTAACAGGTCCAAGCAAAAACTATAGCAAAATTTTCATTTAAATGCCATTTTTCCTAAATGCATTTAGACTTACGGGTAGGACACTTGAGATTGCATTTTCATCGTGATACCGCGTGATAATTGTAGCAAAATGCAGTGTGAATTTCTAAATGCATTTTGAGCCAAATGTGCAGCAAAATGGTTGCAAAAAGGGTGATTTAAATGTCTTTTATTTTTCTTAAATGCATTGACACTTACACTTAAGATGTTTCAATTGCATTTTCATTAAATACCGCGCGATCAGTGTAGACTAGTCAATGTGGATTTGAAAATGCATTCCAAGCCGATCACGCCCCCAACCTTTCAATCATGTCAACCAATCAATCATGTATGTGCCTTACATCCATTTGCTCCTGTGCTGAGTGATTGAGAAGATAGAATCAATCAGTGAATTGATTAAACCTGACATAACAGCTTTTAGAACAGTTCACCACATTGGAATATTGTTTTGTTTTATTTTAATTTATTTTATTTTGCTGGAGAGAAGAAATAATATAGCTAATGATGTTAATAAACAAAACAACTACAACTAAAAAACAATGGTACAAAAAATAATAAAAAAAATACAGAAGCTAACACGCAAGAGTGAACAGGTATTGCCACAGTGAAAGATACAGTTGCAGGATAATTCATGCTCACTCATTCTGTGTGCTGAGTCATTTCAATGTGTGTGTTTGTGTGTGTGTGGCTGATTGTTTCTTAAAGTCCGCGTGAACCGGAAGTTGCTGCCGATTTTATTTCAGTGTAGTGACGTATTTCCATCTGAAACGGAATATTGAATGGAGGGCATGGTTTTATTTTGGCTCTCCTCCTCTCTGTCTCTCACTCATATCAAACTAACGGTTGGAGGGGTGTGTTTAAAGGATATTCTGCCCAAGCCGTCAAACTGACGTCATCAGAGAAGGATTCAGAGAAGCCATTCCAGAGCAGAAGCAAATGATCAGATTTTGATTAAAGATTACCAAGACAAACTATTTTTTTCAGCGGATTAACTTGCACGGATTAATTGTTCACATCAAGACTAGCAATGTGCGCTAGTAAAGTAAATAAAGTCAATTTTGATTTCATGCCGACTTTAAGAGAGAGAGTTTTCTTTTCTGTTTCTGTTTCTCTTTGTCTGTCTCTATTCGCTGCCATTTGAACATCCATGCAAACACTCTGCCTAAGCAATGTAAACACTGAGACAAGAGGGAGCTTTCTTTCTTTCTTCATCTTTTTCTTAAATATATACATGCATGTGTATTTATATATGGATAACAAATATACACAGTACACACATATTACGTAAAAATATTTTTTTTTAATTACTTTTATTTTGGATGCGATTAATCGTTTGACAGCACTAATTTAAATATATCTCTAAAGAGTTAATCCACGTTGTTGTTCATTATGAATTCAGTGACAGACTCCTGACCATACAGTACATGTCCATTTTCTTTCTCTCCCACAGTTCTTTGCCTGCCTGGTCATTCTGTTTGCCTGTGAGGTTGCTGCTGGAATCTGGGGATTCATGAACAAAGACAAGGTCAGTTTCTCGGACAAACATGCATACACAGTGTCAAGCTGACATACACATCTGGTTTCATATTTGTAATTATACTTTTTTTTTTTCCAGATCTCCAAAGAGCTGATCACTTTCTATGACTCTGTGTATGACAGAGGCATTTTTCTTACAGATAGTGAGCAAAAGCAGGCTGCCGCTGCTGTCTTGAAGATCTTTCATGAGACTGTAAGTAGTCCTGATGTTCTGAGGAGCACACAATTAATTAAGCTAACACAAACTCCTCTCAAACCAAATAATAGTCCAGATGCTCAAGGCAATCAAAATACACTCCGTAGACAGCGCTCTAGGACGGACGCGTTCGGCGCCTGCGCACTACCTAGTGAACCTTCGTTTCACTAAAGTAACGCACTGCGTTACTTTATACATTGTGTTTTTAAGCTCAGTCGGTTCAAAACTTACTTTATAGCGGGTTATGTGGGTCAACAAGTTAATGTCAGTCAACAACATTTGTAACATAATGTAAAATTAGTTTCCACTCCTTAAAAAACAGCAACAATCTGTGTTACAATGAAGTACTACTTACAATGACGGAGAATGAGGCCGATTCGTAAACATTAAAATACTCGGTGTTTAACGTGACAGCCTTTTTTTTTACATTTTCTTTACAACTTTACAATTTAGTTGTTATAACAAATTAAGTCTAGAACTTAAAATGATTAGAACAACTTAAAAGCCCAAATAATATACAAGTTTTAACGGATGCGTTAATGTAAGCCCGTGTGTAAAATAACGCATTTCTGTTTTAAATACTCTAGAAAGTTGCATCATTCACTTCTATTTTAAGTGCCTCGCCGTAGAGCATTGCTTTTTGCTTTTTTTCAAGATCCAGAATTAGTTTTTGTGGCAACATTAGGCTACGCCGCGAATTTTATCAATTGAGTTGAACTTGTGAATGATATTGAACCTGGAATATTCGTTTAATGGCAGAAAGGGCACTGCTCATTGTGTTTCTTATATGTGAGATCACAAAGACGAGAGAGAGCTGATCCTGGATCTGCATTCTTGCTGTGGAAAGCTGTAAACCTAGAGCTTCTGATGCCCACTACAATCTCTTTATGCTCTCTTAATACACTGTAATATATTTTTCTGGACGGCCGTCATACAAGGAGTTGGACCACATGTAGATTCACTGCCCCAGTCACTGAAGTTCTGGCCCTCTTTACAGTGATCCAAGCCATAGAGAGGATTCATACGCACCTACTAGCCTTATTAATGAAACACCCCATCCCTTAATTAATCACTTAGATAACAAATCCAGATTGATTCCTAATGGAACCGTCTATGCTGTCGTAGCTGTAATGTGTTATGATATCACTCGACTCTCCAAGGAGTTTGCGTAATTTTCTGTATGTACATTTGTGATATCTGTTGACAGTGAGTTTAGAAGGACAGGCTTGGTTGGTTATAGGATTGACAAGCTCTTGACTCTTCACTGCCACCTCTACCACAAATGTAGTTGCTGTAATACCTTGTCACCTTCACTAGGTGGCGCTCCAGTAGTAGGCTATTCACTTTGAAAACTGGTGACTACACTCTTCGAATGCTTGTGTACATGTCTGTCGTGCACGTATTTTTCTAGACCGCACTAACACGAATTGCCCTCCTCCCTGATGCATAAATACCATCAGATTTGTGATTTTCTACATGCATTATGCAACCCTGTCTTGTTAACACATAATGCCTATGCTGATATGCTTAGAAAGTGTCTTGTAATATGTACAGCTATATAGTATACTAATTACCATGTAAAGACAATGTATGCCTTAAATTGTGATATCCTTTTTTTCTGGTACTTGTCAAAAAATGCAATGATTTCATTTTAAGCATGTAAGAATATTGGGGGTCATGACAAGTCGAGCATTATCTTCGAACTATGAAATATTATGAAGGAGAAAGTTGTTTATGAAATTAACTGTTGAAGTTACAACACATCAGTGTATTTGAACACTATCAAATATTACTGTTGTGTTGAAAGGATCTCATACTTATCTGATACCCAAATTGACAACTGTAACTCGAGCTCTCTTTACCTTGACACACCATTTATAGATTTTGGTCTGGTTTTGTTGCCAAAATATTTAGGAATTAAATGTATTTCACAAATAATCTCTCTTCATTTTGTTCTTTTGTCTACATTATTCCCTTGTTGGTGGGGAAAAAAAGAGATTTAAAAGTTCACTCTTAAAAATAAAGGTTCCAGAAAAGGTGTTTTCTTAGTGATGGAATAGAGGAACCTTTTTGTGAATGGTTTATGAAGAACCATTGGGTTTTCTTTTTTCCTTTAAAGAACCTTTTGAGCAATGGAAAAGTTCCATGGATGTTATAGGCTAGGCTCTTTATGGAATCATTGATGCCAATAAAAAAAGAACGAAAACTGTACAAATACCACTGATACTTGTCATACTCTTTAAAGAATGGGATTTACAATCAGAATCCATTTTCATCATGAATCATGTTTTGTGCATCAGCGCATTCTTCTGTCAGTCATACATCCTGTTGCTAAAAAAAACCTGAACTTTTTTGTTTTCATTTTTACTATTATTTTTGGTATTTTATTTTTTGATATTCTCATTTGTGTCTTTTTAAAAATGACTTCTAAAGATATAGATACCAAAGGTGTAAAGCTATGAAAGCATTTGTCAGTTTCAGTGTTGTTGGATATAGTGACCACACTGGTGAGTTGCTGGACTGCTGCACTGGGTGTGTCTTCTGAACTATGGGCCTCCCTTTGTTTGAAACAAGAGACTTTGGCAACTCATTTCCAGCATGTGGATAAAGCAATCAGCCAAAATAATACATTAATTACTGTATGAGTCAGTGATCTTCTAATCGTTTAAATATACACCGAAAATAATCACATTTAAACCAACTCAACTGAAAAACCCCTCAAATCTCATTCAGCCTGTTGACTAAACAGTTTGCACATCCTCTCCTCCTCAATGTGGGATTTTTAGAACCCTGCATTTTTCCTCCTATCTCTTTTTAGGATTAACTGAAGTTCCTGGGAGGAGAGATGATGCAATGTCAGAATTTGGGTGGGTAACAGACATTTTAAGTTACTCCTCTTTAAACAGAATAGTTCAAAACAAGAGAAGAAAGAGAGACGAGCAAAGGGGCTTATAAAAGGAAAACTGTGAAGCCTTGTTCTTGAAAACCAAAGGAAAAATAAGCAAGGAACATATCAAACAATGAAAGCAAAGTCTTCCGTATTAATGGTGAGTAAATCTTTTTGTCATGTTTTTCAGTTGTTTAATTGATATATTTTAAAATATATTAATTAATTTAGATTCCTAACAAAAAATGATGGTAATGCCATTGTACTTTTTTGTTAGTAACTTGTTTTTTTGTGGGGGGGAAATCGTCGAGCTACGATGAAAGAACTTAGACACTTTTAAAACAGCTACATTTTATTAGTTAAAACAAATAAGATGTGTGAAAACATAAAGAATTTAAAACAAATCTTTAAAAATATAAGGAATTCAAAGTTGCACAAAAGACTATGGTAGTACCATGCTGTTATAAGATGATAATAACATGGTACTTTATATATATATCCACTGCTGGGAACCCCCTAAAACAGGACATTGGAACAACTGATATCCTGACACTTTCCTGAATCATGTTGGCCCTCATAAGAATGAAGTTAAACTTGTAAACATTACATAAGCTCGTATGAATGGAAAACCGCCCCATTGTTCTTTAATGAAACCTTGACAAGATATATAGATGCTTTCGAATGCAAATGTGTAAAATGGATCACTCAGCACATGTGATTTAGAGATGTAAGCCATTGTGAGCAGTGTGTGTGTGTGTGTGTGTGTGTGTGTGTGTGGATGTTTGTGGAGGATGAGGAGGAGTATAACCCGTGGGAAAGGTATCACTTTCTTCTCTGGCTTAGTAAGGCAGGTAGAAATTAGGGCAAACCTCACTCTCCACCTCCCAAACACCCCACCCCCACTGCCCCGTAAAAGTACAGCTTTCTCTAGTCAAGAAGGGGGCTGAAATATAACTTTACTAATGCTTGACAGAAGCACGTATAACATTATATTAAAAATCACAAATGAATTGAATATTTTTTTAAAGGGAACAGCGCTGCTTTTAAAGTGAAATCTGTCTGTCATTGATGGAAATCAAAGAAAAAAAGAAAAAGAAATCACTCGACTGCTCTAGTCACTGATTAACTATAGCTTGAATAAAGATAAATCTATAGTTAATGCATATACAGTTTATAGTTTATATGAAGATTGTTTTAAGTTCACTTAAATTAAGTTAAATTTCTCAGAGCCTATTAAATGATAAAAACAATGTCTTTCAATTTTACTGTAATGTTGAATGACTACAATTAATAGCTATAATTAAGGGAAAATGCATTTAATAAAGACACCAATATTGGTAGTAGCCTATCATTGATACTGGTCTTCATTAATGAGGCTACTTAGTAAAAATAAACACATATTTAAAATACACAATCTTGGAGATTCAGTTTGAAATTATGACAATATAAATATATTAATATGCAATTAATCACAATTAATTACAGAAAATGCGTGATTCGTTTTTTTAATCAGTTGACAGACAGCACTACCGTTGAACTTTTATGCATCTTGGTGTTGGTATGTTAGTTCATTTTAATGCTGAATATGCATTTCAATTTCATTTGTAATTTTATAGGCCCCCCAGAAAGAGATTGGACGGCCCACACCTCTTGGACCCCTTCAAATTTTCAAATTCGATAATCCGGCCCTCAAATGAAACTAATTGAATAGCCCTCTTCTATACGTATACAGATCTCATGAAAGTCAGCAAAGTCCATTTCTTTCTTAATATTTCACTTTTCACAGTTGTGATTGTAAATCAAAAGTCTGATTAATATGAATAGGAAACAACGTTCCCAGTAGCACTTGATAAAATCTTGCAAATCTATAGCTTTTGGGGTGCCTGTTAGCGAGAGGAATGTTAGGCATTTAACCTTTGACCCTATTGTTGCCCCTAATCACAATAAGTGACTTGGAGAGCTGTATCTGGTCAATGTTAGAGAATGAGTTTGGACATGACCTTTTAAAAAGAAGACGAAATGACTCCTTCACTCTTAAAAATTAAGGTTCTTTATTTGTGTCCATTGTTCCTTGAAGAACTTTTAACATCCACGGAACTCTTCCATTGCATAAAAGGTCCTTTATAGTGGAAAAGGTTCTAAAGATGAAATAAAAACAGTTTTCTAAGAACTGTTTACTGAAAGTTTTTTTTAGGGAACCAAAATGGGTCTTCTGTGGCATCACTGTGAAAAACTTCTTGGGACCTTTATTTTTAAGATTGTTGAGTGATTTTTTTACAACTGC